GGAGCTCAGTGGGTAGATTGCACACCTTGTATTCATGAGGCCCTGAGTTTGATCCCAGCACTAAAAACAAAAACAAAAACAAAAACAAAAAAAGAAGGAAAGAGGGAAGGAAGGAAGGGAAGGAAGAAAAGAATTGACTTTCTACATGTGCATGCCAGGGACTCAAGATGAAAATCAGGCATCCCCTTGCTTCAAGGATTTCCAGCCCGGGGAACATGTTTTGTAGGGGTACAGTAGATGCCAAAAAGTTACAGTGGCTGTGCCCATCCCTGTCTAGGAGTCTCCAGAGGGGTCCTGGGAAGTGCCCTTTATACTGGAATGTAGACGGTGACTAGAAAGCACAGAAAGAAAGGGATAGTGTGAGCTAGTGGAGCAGAAGGTCTGGTCAAGGCCCACAAGGGCCCTCCAGCTGCCGTCATGAGTCAAGGCCCCTTCCAGTAGATGCTGAGAGGCAAGGCCCCTCCAGCTGTTGCTGAAAGTCAAGGCCCCCTCCAGCTGCTTTTGAGAGAGAGTCAAGGCCCCCTCCAGTTGATCCTGAGAGGCAAGGCCCCTCCATCTGTTGCTGAAAGTCAAGGCCCCCTCCAGCTGCTTTTGAGAGAGAGTCAAGGCCCCCTCCAGTTGATCCTGAGAGGCAAGGCCCCTCCAGCTGTTGCTGAAAGTCAAGGCCCCCTCCAGCTGCTTTTGAGAGAGTGTCAAGGCCCCCTCCAGTTAATGCTGAGAATCAAGGTCCCTCTCCTTGATGCTGAAAGTCAAGGCCTTCTTCAGCTGATGCTGAGAGGCAAGATACCCTGTGGCCACTGATGAGGAAAGGCTGGCATGGAGGAGGTGGTGGTGGCCAGATGGTGAAGGGGCTCGGCCGTGGCCCCCTGCCCTGCATCTCACTTCAGATAGGACTCAAAAGAGAGCGTTCCACAGCTTCCACCTTGAGAAACTGAACCCTGGCTGCTTTCACTCCAGCCCCTTTCTGTGTCATCTCTTGTAAACATCCTGTCCCTTCAGCAGCTCCTAACAGACTATTTATAGTCAACACCACATGTGGTTTCCGGACCTGTGCGTTTGGACAAAACTGCCTCCCGTCAGTCACAAGTCCTGTCCGTTCTCCATCTGAAAAGGCTCTCAAAACTTCTTCCCTCTTGCTGCAGCCTCCTTAGATCATCCACAGGCTGGCCTCCCTCCTAGCCTGCCACAGGCCCCAACAGAGAGGTACCTGGGTGGGTGTATTGGTTAGTATTCCCTGCGGAGACGTACAGCCCAAACTCCAGGGCCTGCCAGCCTTCCACGTTTGTGATCTGCTCCTCTTGGCTAAGACTCAATGCTAGTGACAGCCTCACCAGCAATTCTGTCACTCAGCTGGGCTGACGGGGCTGACGGGGCTGTCCCAGGTCAGTTAGTGCGGCAACAGGAAGCCTGGCAGTGAGAAAGGGGATTTGATACACCAACAGTTGAGGATGTGTGTATACCCAGGGCCCACGAGTGCAAATAAGTATGTGCTCTACTGCTGAGCTACTCCCCTGGCTCCTACATCAGCTCTGGTTGGTGCCTTTGCATTTTATGTGTTGTTATACTACTGTAAAACCAATCTCAGGTTCAAATGGTGGCGAAATGGACTCCACCCATGGGAGGGGTGGTGGTGCCACTGTGGACAATCAGAAGCCTCTCTTGCAGTGATGGTCATGGTGGGGCAGCAGCACTGTTCTCTGTTGTGGTCTGTCTCATGTTCCTTACTGCCCTTGTCATGCTGGGTCAGTTTGCTCAGTTTGGATGCTCTCCAAACTTTGTCTTCCTTTCCACAATATGGGGATCTTAGGGGCAATGACCTCAGTGACATCAGGAGCTCATTACAGTGGAGCTGGGGGCCAGAAAGAGCCCAGCCAAGTTTCTGCTGTTATCCTCACTTCCCAACGAATTTTCTCCTCATTCTTTCACTTTGACACATGGCCCTTGGGGACACTTCCCCCAAGCCTTTTGTATTTACCAAAGTGCCCTCTTACTTACATCTTGCTGGATAGGAGCTAACATCTCACTCCCCCCTCCCCCCACCCCCCTCCCGAATTCTTCTTTTAGAGTCATTGGTCACGCCCTCCTAGGTTCTCCCAAGTGTCCCTCAGTCCTGAGTCCCTTTGCTCTACATTTTCTGTGCACTTATCCACAGCCCACTCTCAGTCCCCACCCCTGAAAGTTTCTGGCTTGCAAGAGGTGTGCACTTGTCCTCTTCCTGTTCCCACTCTGATCACAGGATAGAGAGTTGCTTTTGGAAACCCATGTGTCATGCGAATGTTTGGGCAAGGCAGTGGGCAAGTGGGTGCGTACCTTGTCTCCCTCTTGAATTATCTCAGAAAGGCCTCAGATGGGGTTAATGCCAAAGCTGACTTGCATTTTCTCTCTTCCTTCAATTTTCAGACTTGACTTTCCTGGATTGGAAATGGCACCAAGAGGCAATTTGTACCTACCAGGATTGTGCTGAGTGGTACTGCAGGACAGTTGCATCTTGGGCCAGAGGTGGACAGTGGCTCAGCCTCCTAAGGTGAGTGACTAAGTGGTTTTCCCCCATGAGGGAGATGTGCTGTCTTTTCCACACTTCATGATTTATGTTGTGGGATTGGATGAAGCATGAGACAAGTGCTGTGTTTTCCAGACTCTTGAGAGTTATGTAGGGCGGGGGTGCCCTGTTTTCTTGGTCTCTGTAACCCGGCCTGCTCTGCCATGAGGGAGGAGTGCCCAGGCGAGGGGAGCCATTGTCTGGATGAAGCACTGAGCAGCCTCCTGATGAAGAACCTTGGGAAAGGTTCTTTCCTCATGATAAGTCAAAAGGAGACAGCCAGATTGGGAGTACTCCTTGATGACCATTTGCTGTCATCCCATAGAAGGCCTTCTGGGAGAAGTGTTTAACAATACCCCTGGAGAAAAATCTGATGAGACTCACTTATCCCCTGTGTATCCAGCTCTGATGATGGCCCGGGCTTTGGGTGGAATCCGTGCTGTGTGAGGGAGCTCGCGTCTCTTGTCTCTCAGGGGGAGTGGCATGCCACAATCAGGTCCAGAGTGTATTCACTGCTGCTGCACCATCCTAGCATCGTGCTAGGAAAAATGTGTGTGTTTGTGTAAGACAAACACACTCACATGCACATACACATAGTTCTATACGTACACATCAGCTAGATCATTCCTAAATGGACCATGTTAGTTATCTATTCATTCAACCTATAGCACTAGCTGTACGTCTAACAGCTAACATCACAGCAGGACACCTACTAATTCATCTAATCCATACACATAGAAACATGTCCGATAACAGAGTTACTTTGATAGAGTAAAGAATAGAGGTCAAACCCTTTTCTCTTTGCTGTGACAAGAGCAACTGAAGAAAGGAAGACTCACAGTTTGAAGGTGCAGTGCAGAGTGACAGAACGTGAAGCAACTGGTCATGCTGCATCCGTGGTCAGGAAGCAGAGCGAGATGGATGCTGGTGCTCCACTAGCTTCCTCCCTTTGATTCAGTCCAGGACCCAGTCTATGGATTTCTGCTGCCACAATTAGGGTGGGCATTCCCACTTCAATTAGCAGCCTAGAGGCTCCCTCGTAAACATACCCAGAGGTTCATTTCTATCTATGGTGATGCCAAATCCTATCAAGTCGACAAGCTAACCACCACACTCTGTGTATTAAATTCACTGTGTGTTCATGTTGATAATACTTCCTTGAAATTAAGATTTGTCTTCATGCTACATGGTCACTGCATTCCTGGCCCAATACCTCCCCAACTGCCACATTTATTAAATTGTGGGTCAGGCCCTGCCTTAAACTGATGTCACCTTAAGAGGTCCAAGTACAGATGAGGAAACTGAGATCCTGAAATGCAAATGAAGTTGTGGCAAATTACACAGCTAGAAAAAGCAGCCATTCCCAGTGAGCTGTCTGACTGTTCTCTGATTGAAAGGCCCAGGATACATCATAGATGAGAGAGAAAAATCAGAGCAAAAGGTGGGTGTCGTAGGTACATTCCTCATCTCTGTGATCAGATACCTGATGAAAGCTACCTAAATGAAGACAGATTTAGATTGGCTCCTGGTTTAAGAGAGCACACTGCAGGGTTGGTTGGGAAAACTTAGAGGATGAGTGGTTGCAGCTGTTGTAGCAGAAGCTGGTTCACATCTGGGTAGACGAGCAAACAGAGAGCTAGGATAGGAACTGGGGCTGGGCTATGAGCCATAAGACCCCCCTGACCCAGTGATCCCATTTCTTTCAGTGAGACCGCACCTTCTAACAGTTTCTCAACCACATTTTTTACCTTTTAGATATATTTTTTAACATGTATCAGTGTTTGCCTGTTTGTATGTATATGTACAGTGTTCATGCCTGTTGCCTACAGAGGCCAGAAGAGGGTGGTGTTATAGCCCCTGGAACTGGAGTTATAGGTGGTTATGAGCTGCCATGTGGGAACTGGGAACCCAGGTCCTCTGCAAGAGCATCAAGTGTTCTTAACCTCTGAGCCATCTCTCCAGTCCCACACTACTACCTCTTAAAGGTTCCACAACCTACCCAAATAGGGCCACCAACTGGTGATCAAGTGTTCAAATGTGTGAGATTATGGGGGACATTTCACCTCCAAATTAAAGTAGTAAAAACAAGTCTCTAGCCCTGGCAGTGGTGAGCCGGCTGGACCTGTTGACACACACCCCTCCCTTGCTCCCCAGGAGCTGTATTTGTGGTCTGCAACACCCAGACCCAGTCCTGTAAGGGGAAGTGCACAGACACACATGGCAGGATGTGAATGCACATATATGTGAGTACACAGCTCTGCTGTGGTGGGCCCACGGCTGCTGTCCTGAGCTCAGAGTCTGAGGGCAGCTTCAGAACTATGTTTCTGCCACCTGAGCCTTTGCTCTGCTTCCCTGGGACTTTTCTGGCAGAGCTATATTAGCAAGGAGGCTTTAATTTAAGCACATCTGTATCCCCAGCTCCTAGCAGAATACATCAGCAGGTATACTCGACAAATACCAATTTCTCACATGTGCCCACAGTGTTTCTGAGCTCTGGGATGTGCCGGGCACTGTTCTAGACAAAGACCCAGAGAGTTCATATCCTAGCATGTGAATGGTAGGGTGTGAGACAGTGGCCCAGGGAAGGCACAGCTTTACAGCTGTGTGGGCACTAAAGGTCTGTGCCAGGTGTCTGTGGAGCCTGGCCCCATGCTGATGGGTGAGCACAAGCAGTAGGAGGATGAAGGAGGACAGGGGTGGCAGTCACAGATCAGCACAGGCCTGTGCTTCCTTCCAGGGCTGTGGCCCTGCAGAGAGCCAGGCCTGTTTTTCTTCCAGGCAGTCACGTGCATAGAAGCTCACAGAACTTAGCTATTTCCTCTAAAAACAACTGGCCCAAGTTACCAGCCAAAACAGAGACAGCCTGCAGGCCAGAGGTTCAGTGATTGAGATAAGAGGGCATCCTGGCAGTCCTCACATACCATTCTGGATAAAGAAGAGCTTGGGGAATTTCCCTTGTGATAGCCTGTGACTGGAGAGCAGAGGTGTCAAGAGCAGGCACTCATTCCCCGGGAGACACAAGAAAGTGAGCATCTTTGAATGTTCAAAGGCTGCAGGTGGGGAGGTATTAGCTTGTACAGGGGATTTGATGGAGGGATGCCAGTGGATGAGGGAGTAGAGAGAGAGAGATTTCTGTCAGTACTTCCCCTCTCTCTGTGTCTTAATAGGGCCCTCCTGGGTGCCTCCAGCCCAGGCCTTTGCTGAGTACTGGAAGTGAAAGGAGTCAGCGGGCACCATGCCGCTGAGATGCTGATAACCCAGGGGCAAAACAGATAAGTCCACCAGTGAGCAGCAGGAACAGTGTATAGTTCTGGTTTTGAGGGGCTTGACACATACAGAGTTTGGAGTCTTCTCTATGGAAATACAATACAAAGTCACAGATTAAAATGAAATGCAAACCCTCAACAAGTGGACTGCTGGGGCTCCACTCTTGGGTAGGGGCTGGTTTCCAGTGGGTTTGCAGTTAAAGGGACTGGGAGCCCTTTGCCTTCTGTTCTCTGAAGCCTGCAGGTAAGGAGCAGGTCACCAGGAGCCTGTGTCCTGGTAGGCTGGCCCCATACTCCATAGGAAGGCCATTGGGGAAGACACTGGTGTTTGGAAACCTGGCTTCTCCTGTCCTCGTTCTCTAACAAAATGGAGTCTTTGTTCCTTTATTACTGCTGGGATGCTCAAAGACACATTCTGTAGTTTTACGGCTGACCTAGTGACCCCACTTCTGGTACTGCATCCTAAGGACCAGCTAAACTTCGGAAATGCTGAGCTGAGTGGGTGGACTTACATAAGGCCAACTGGAGGTCATTCACTTCCTCAGGGAGGACTCCAAACCTATAAGCCTTGTGTGGACTAGAGAGGCAGAAAGTAGTTTAGTGACATACCCATAGGCACATGGCTCTGAGCTGTGCTTTTAAGTTACAGTATTTCCGGAACCTTGCCCACTGGCTCTCTTGTCTGTCTGAATCCTTCCTTAGCTTCTAATATCCTGAAAATGCCTTGAACAGCCAGGATTAGGAGCAGAGTTAAGTAAAGTAGAGCCTAGAATGGAGTTATTAGTATTGGGTCAATGTAGTTTTTCCCAGAGCACTAGAATGTTCTGGATGTTAGATACAAAACAGGGGAGAGCCCCATTTGTGTACACAGTGAGTAATATTGAGGGTCAGTACAGCTGAGCTCCCCCTCAGCTTTGTACACACTCTGTTGGATTTGTTGTGACAGGCTCATTCACCCATACATCCAGCCAACAGCTTTATCCCGAGCTCCTGTTCTGTTCCCATCCTGAGGACACAGTAGTCTTTAAGGGTCAGGAAGAGGAAAGTTTCAGCCCTTATGACACCCACCATCCAGCTAACTGTGGATTCTCTGCCAGCACTTGCTCCCTCCCTGTTGCACCAGATGGAACTCTCAGCAGCCTCCCTTGGATCTCCAGTGCTTTGAGGGGGCCCCTCCGCCCCATTCTGTGCCTGTTGCTTCATATGTAAAATAGGCTGGGAGACTCACAGGACTGAGACTTCAAAGTGTGGACTCTTCTGGATGCAGGCTGGGTACTTTGCCTGCATCTCCTTGTCTTTACATCTGACAGGTAGAAGCACTGGGCACTGAGTTTCTCCCTGGCCCCCAGAACCTCAAAGGTCATAGGTGGCTAGAGAGGGAAAGCAAGGCTCTCGACTCTAAAGACTAAGCTTCTTGCTGACCCTGCTGTTAGGGTCCCATGACTCTGCAACCTTATGCTGCAGGGCCTTGTTTCTTGACAACATGGGGCCCCTCCCACCCCCAAGGGAGACAGATATGCAAACTATAGAGGAACCTGGAGTTTGGAAAGCCTGGCCTTCCCTTCTGCCTCCCTGCTGTAGTTCTCAGAGCTTAGGCATGGTATTCCCTTTTCTAAGTCTCAGTCTCCTTATCTGTAAGAAAGGAGATGGTCTTGTCCAGCTACTAGGGTTTCCTGGGGATTAATGCCACAATAACCCATGGAAAGTACTGGGTAAATA